CTATCATACTCTCCATTCAAGTGATGTGGACGATCTGCTTGAGCAAACCCCATGAAAAATGCCATATTATTCTACACAAAACATAAACAAATTCAGTAACCAAATAATTTCAAATACATCACTAATTTAAAAATCAAACAATTAAATACAAAAGTAATAGAACAACATCAGATGAATCTTTTCACAACTCACATTTTGAATGGGAAATGCAGGGTATTGATCATCATCCATACCACCATGACTATCTCGTGCATTTTGAGAATCCTGAAGTACAAAAAAACCAAGTATCTCATTTTAAAAATACATATGTATCAATGCCAAGATAAAGAATGGGAATCACAACTAAGTATTCTTACAGTAAAAAGAATACTCTCTTGTGTTCCAACTATATCACAGCTAATTTTGTTAGTGGGTGGAACATCACTTTCTACCATCTGGAACTCCTAAAAAATATACAAATAAAACACATGTATAGCATGAATATTTTACTCACTTAACATAACAAAATAAGTAATAGCTATTTTATTTGCATACCTTCATTCCTTTTCTTTTATTAGTATTTTTTTTTCTTGAGATGTGCTCTTCTTTTCTCCTTCTTTTCTCTTTCTAACAATTTGTTCCATTTTAGATTGCTTCCTTTTAAATGGTGGTTGACCTTTGCTTCTGACTGCTAACGGGGTAAGTATCTTCTTCGAATTTGAAATTTCATTAACACAATTGTCAAAGCTCTTACCAGTTGGTGACTTGGGAATTGGTTGAGTACTCCCACAAACATTGTCATGGTTAGACAATTGCTCCTTTAGTTTCTGCATCCAAGCCATCACAATCACACACTTTTCTTCAGAATCAGCTGCCAACTCCTTAATCTCATCAAAGGTCTTCTGCATCTTATCACACTGACGTGCTTCAAGTGTGGCATTTGACTCATTATAGCTAATTTTAATCTCTGTGTGACGTCTTGTCACATCTTTCCTCCATCTTCGCAAGATGTATTTATCTGGAATTAAATCCATCTTATGCTTAATCAAGACATAAATGGCATGTCTGCATAGTATTCCCCTAAACTCAAACTTGGAACAATTGCACTTAACTTCGCTGCCCTACTCCTGGAATCTGCCCAAAACACATTTTGTAACTGACCACTTTCATCTAGATCAATTGCATGAAATTTGCATTTTGAGCTTGCATCTTCAAGAAATACTTTTGAATTGCAGTTGCATCTCCTTCCCCAAGTTGTAATCTTCTAACTTTGTTAATGTAATTTCTACAATCCTTTTCCATGAATGACATATTCTCATGTCCTCCGGCTTCAACTACCATTGAATTATAATTCTTATTTACTCTTATTTCAGCTCTATCATTCACTTCAATCTTCCTTTTCATATATGAACTTATTGCACGATTCATTCTAAAATATTGAGCATTGTTTGGATTTAATCCATGATTATGATCAAGTTTGACCGAGTTCACTTTCCACCTTCCATCCAAGCATATACCTGCCCTAAGTTGAGCCTTGCAATAGCATTTTATGCTTGGATATGGCTTTAAGACATTGCTTGCAGTACTTTGCGAGATCCCCGATCGAGAACATGATAAAGTCACATATTTCAACTCCCCACAATCTCCTTTCTTCGATGATCTCTTCTTCATTGGGAAACCTACTCGATTTGCATATTTTTTATAAAAATCAAGCACCTCATCAGCTGTGTTAAAAATCATATTTACCTTAAGTTCTTGTGTTGTTTCTTCTGGGCTCATTGTATTTTCCAGTCCAGTCTCACCAATCTCAACCTCATCATTTTCTTCACTCATCTCCAAATTTGAATGGCTTCTTGAAGATTCCAAATATTAATATAAACTTCCTGTAATACATATGCAATAATACACATTCAGTTGACATTATAGTACCCAGTACCCATGAACTACACGCTAGCTAGACCCCAACAAATTGCAATAATACACATTCAGCAAACATACCTAGTAAGTGATTGTTCAGCAATAGTAATTTGCAATAGTATCTAAACTCAGTGATTCAAATTGTCATGAGTTAACATATATAGTAAATGAGACCACTTACTTCAAAATAAAAGCATTCTCCCGTGTCTTCTCAAACGACTTTGCAATAAAATCACTCATCCACTCAAGGGAACTTTTAACATAATCAATTGTACTAGATGCAACATATGTTAGAAAGAAGATGGGATGGTTCAAATTTTCATCTGCCCAACACTGCAATTAATGGAAGAACCAATATAAATCATTGCAGTATAGTTGACACAAAACTTATGTGTTGTCAATACCAATTTTTAAATTTTTTTTTTTTAAATGTCTCCCCTACTAACCAATTCTAATATTTGAACAAGTTCCAAAACTCGGCCAACAGTATCAACAGGTAGTAATACATTTCCATCAGATCGTAGAGTCTTCTTTATGGTATCTAAATAATAATCAGAAAATAAAACGCAGACTAAGAATAACAAAACCTCATTCATTCACAGAGTATAAATACTTGTTCATTCCATGCATGTTTCTTCAACAAGAAAAAGGAAAATAAAGAAGACATGCAAACATGAATTTTACTATAGATGACAATTTTTAAGACAAAAATCTTGAGGTAGCTAAAATTCCTTGTTCGTAAGGTACCTGTAAATTCCTTGTCCTTTTGGCTTCTATAAGGCTGATTGTTCAAAGCATTATAGGCATCTGTTATTAGAACAGCAGGGCGCACAAAGGATGCTTGATTAATTCCATTCAAATGCCTGATTAAAATCACATCAGTAAGCAGTTCAAATCATCTTTCTTTATTCCAGGCATCATATACACATATAAGTAATTGAATTGTCACAGGTAAATTACACTAAACATTGGGTATGTACCTCAATCTTCAACCTCTCTGTCAGACAGGCTTTTGGAGAAGAATAGACCAGTGAACCTCTCCATTCTTCAACCCACCCAATTGCCTAGGACTGCAAATTTCATTCTTATTGAGAAAAGCAAAGTAGGGAATGAGAAGCAGAATGAGAGAATATGGTAATTGAGAGGACTCCAACTCTCAGCCACGTCCTAGTGATACTCTTATCAGAGTGCAGCAATAATGGAGGAACGGAGTGCTATGGAGACACGAGGAAGAATTGAGAACGACGTGAGGCCACTTGCCAGGGACGTTAGGGTTTTTTAATTTTGAATGTTTTTGTTTTTTAAGAATTATTGAAAAAAGAAAAAGAAAAAATAGAATACACATGACAACATACATTAATTGACATGGCACGACACATCAGCTGCCACATCAGGTGGTCAGCTAAGGTGGTCAATATTGTGTGTCTAAATAGTATTACTCTTAATGATATATTGTAATTCTAAATTGTTAATGGAGACAAAATGGTCATGAAAAATATTTATTTAATATGAGCTCATTTTCCCAGGAAGAAAAACAAAATCCAAGTTGGGAGGATAACTTTACTTTCCCCTCTACTTTTCCATGAGTCAGACAATAATTTTCCATACTTGATTTACCAATCATGAGAAAACAATTGATTTCCTATCCTCAAGTCTCCTTTCTCATGAACCAATCGGGGCTAAAATCCTCTTTAGAGAGGTATCTCAACATGTTCAAGTCCACTCTACTTTTCCATGAGTAAAACAATAATTTTCCATACTTGATTTACCAATTATGAGAAAACAATTGATTTCCTATCCTCAAGTCTCCTTTCTCATGAACCAATCGGGGCTAAAATCCTCTTTAGAGAGGTATCTCAACATGTTCAAGTCCACTCGCTTGCTTTCTCTGCTTATTTTATGCTCGGGATTTTCAATTTTTCAATTTTTAAACTTTAATGGAGCAGCAAATGCAGTCAAGAAGAGGAGGCAGTCTGTTACAGTGGTGCAAATGCAGTATCATAAGAGGAAAAAAAAAAGACTTGTGTCTGAGAGAGAGAGAGAGAGAGAGAGAGAGAGAGAGAGAGAACATGAAGTCTCATAGAAGGAGAGAGGAGGAAGAAGAGACCCGAGCCACGGAGGAGAGAGAGACAGGCGCTGCCGTTTATTTTCAAATGGAAAACCTGGATGAGGATTTGATTGGCTTGGGTTTGGCGGTGCAAAGAAGAGGCCCTCAAGAGACAGGCGCTGATTGAAGAGTGGATTAGTCGACCAAAGAGAGTGAGTGAGAGGAGTGTGGCGCAGCTTAGGAGGAATTAAGAGAAGGTATAATGCCTTGGATTTATTATCGAAGTATAACACAAGGCGGTGTCTTGGTGGTTCAGTGGTAAGTTGCTGGGTATTGAAGAGAGGGGTCAGGGCCGCCTTCCTTTTAATTTGTTTTATTTTATCTTACTGAATATATATGCTCTAATAAATAATTTATTATTTTTTTTTATAGAAATGTTGCCAACCAAACAAAAGCATACCTCTCCGTGGACGAAGAAATTGAAAATTATAATGGATTTTAAAATGACTTAAAATGTGAATTAAACTTGAGATTTTGACGAAGTTTGAATTTGTAAATTGATATGAACTAAGAAACTTTACAAATTTATAAATTTTAAAACATTAATTTTCATTATTTTAAACTCCGTTATTTATGAATTTCTTTATATTTTTAAATTTTCTCAACCAAATGTATTGGGGATAGAAACAAGACGAAGGGTGCAGAAAAAACAAAAGTTAGGTTGTGAAAATCAAAATCCAATTTGGTTCAATTGAGGCGTGAGTACCACGTGCCTCTTGGCGCGTACCTACCTTCCCCACAAGAAGCCCTCCCCTCTGACCTGCATTTACCAAAAACCAGAGCACAAAACCAAGAAAACCAGTGGACATGTCAACCACCATTTCCACACATAAACATAAACACAAACACCACCTACGGTATCTTTTGTCATCAGCTCTCAAACCCTTCTCTCTTAACCTCCAACCCATAATTATTAATTAATTAATTAATTAATTAATTAATTAATTAATAATTAGTTGTACTATTTATATAAATCAATACCCAAAAAGAATTGTTCAGGTCCTCTATTGTTGTTGCCGTCGTTATTAGTTTTGTTGCTTAAGAGGTCAATTAGTCGTTGAGCTTTCTCTTTCTCTGTTTGATCGGCTGGTAGTTCCTATGTTTGACTCTAATTGAAGCAACCCTTCTCTCTTAAGCTCTGTACTCCAATGGCTTTTCTCCTATTCTCTTTGATTTCTCGCTTTCGCTTGCATTTCCAACAAAGAGGCTTGGTGGGGAAGATTCTGAGTTGAATTTCTCGAATGGGTTGTTTGAGTTTGGATATGGGGGTCGTGAAAATTTTGGGGTTTTTGTGGTCTCAGAGAAGGAAGTTGAGGTTTCTATACTGGGTTGCATTCTGGTTGTGTGTAGCTTTGGTGCTTTTTCAGCCGGTGGCGGGTCTCAGACCCTTGCGGGAAAGGGCTCGCTCGTGGGGTGATGAGGTTGGTATTAGAATTTTTGGTTCTTTTTGTTTTTGTGCTTAATTTGGTTGTATTTGGTTGTTTGTGATTGAAATGTATGATGTTTATAGGGTAAAGACTGTGAATTTCAATGTGGAAATGTGATTTTGATCTGCTAAGTGCTGCTATGTGTGTGAATTTTGATGGGAATGGTGGAGATACGATGATAATTGCTATATCAAAGGTCATGAGGTTAATGGAGGAGCTCAATAGTGGTGTTAGAAGTTCTACATACTTGCTAGAAAACATAAAGTGTCATGGTCTGAACCTTGTTATGAAGTTGGCTCGAATGCCAGCTGACTAATAAGTCATGGTTCTGAGTTATTTAGTGGAAAATTCTGAGTTCTGCTGCCTGTCATGATTCAAAGTTAGTTCAGTTGGATATAGTGAGTTTTACATAAATCTATTGTTGTCTTCTGTTTTGTGAATCCTGCTACCTCACTTAACTGCAGTTGAAACTATGTTACGTAGGTTGGTATCATATAATTTGAATGTTGATTTAGCCACCCATTAGTACTTAAATTATATGAACAAGGAGAAATATGAAAGCGTCTCTGTTTGCTGGTAACTTCCTTGGTAGAGTTCATTTTTAGGCAGCATAAAGCTCATCTGTGCATCTTACAAACTCCATTCTATTTCTAGTGAAAATAATTTGTACACGATTTTGGTAGCCCAAAGATATCTTGTTTAGATTCGGCCTACTCTCTCTCACTCATATTATTCTATTATTTGTATTGATTCTTAAGGTTTAAGTTTGCAATTTCATTTTTGTACATTCATTAAATCTGTAACCACAGGAAAAATAAAGGCAAGGTTCAATCACGTAAAGGCTTAGTTTGTTGTTTACTGCTAACCGATAAATTTTTTCAATTACAGCACCTGCAGACATTGACATTATCTTTTTCTGAAGTAATCTCATCATGTTTATGACCAATTTTTTTATATTATTTTTTTCATGTCATAAAATTGAGGAAACCAATTAAATTCCTCATTTGTCTGTTTGCAGTGGCTATTTGTAAGAAAGGATGAAAGTGATTTGGGTCCATTTTCTACATGGAACATAACAGGAACTTACAGAGGTTTGTCACTTTATATTTTTGTACGATCTTATTGTGGCCATTCCTTGCTCAAAAGTTGTTGATTACTAACTGAATCATAAGATATTCTTATTACTCTGGTCATAGAATTTTGTATTATGAAGCTTATTGCTGGGGTAATTGGGTAAGAACTGGAAGTCATAGAATTTAGGGGATTGTGTAGCTTTAACCATTTTATTATGAATATACATGATTCCTGAAGGGGATTTTCATGGACTTCGATAAACTATTTGATAACTTAAAACTTGGCTGATTCAAATGGCTTCAAACTCACTTGAGAGATAGATAGAAGCATGTATGGATAAAATGATATTAATTGATGTCAACACGTAAACAAACCCTGCCGTAGCTGGCTATTACTTTCTCTTGGCATTTGTTTAGTTAGGTTCTGCCCACCCAAGTTGTAGCCTTACTGATGAGGACATCTTTGTCAAACCCATTAGGGTTTACAAAAGAAAGAGATGGAAGAGGAAATCATTTAATTTGGTCTTCAAATCTGGCAATTTTGTATTCCTGCGATTAGTTTCTAACTTGTTCTCTAAGTTTTCCAGATTTTAGTAGGATTTTTAATTTTTCCAGATTTCAGTAGGATTTCTAAGTTTCCTATTTTATTTGGATTAGGATTTCTTTCCTAGAATAAGTTTAATTTTCCTTTTCACTCTAGGGTTAGATTATTATAAATACACCTTCTATGTAATTCATTATGGGAGTTGAGTTGTTGAGATATAAAGCAAAGTTTATTTTCCAGAGATTGGGGACTACTTGGTGTGAAGCCAAACCCCCGTAGGGATTCCAGACCTATCCTTGTTCGTTCTATTTTCTGTTTTTCATTGTTTTGCTTCTGCTACTCTACTTAAGCCTACAATTCACCCATGTTCTACATCAAATTTGGTATTAGAGCCAGGTTTAGTGTGAAGCCACTCCAGACCTATCTTTATTTGTTCTATTTTTTGTTTTCCATTGTTTTCGCTTCTGCTAAACTACCTAAATTCTCAATTCACCCATATCCTACATCACTTACTGTGCTGGTCAGAAAAATTTAAGGGTTTCTAATACTCAATAACTAAGATCTTATTGGTTATATGTTTGAAGGTACAGATTTAATGCCTTTGTCTATTCTTTAACCCTCAATGCGATTGCTAGCATCTAATAGGTGTACGATTTTGTAGATAATGCTTCCCATTGGTGCTTTCTTAATAAAGATTTTAAAATAACAATGTTTGGAAAAACTTCACAATTACTTATGTTATTGGTTTTCGTTTTCTTAAAAGGTTGTATATACCAATCAAAATCATGGATGTTTTGATAAAGTTTTACATAGAAGCTTGTGAGAAATTTAATATTTTCGATACTTCGGATTGCAAGTTTTTACATTAACCCCTTAGTTGTGTTCAAGTACAAGTAATTGTTGTTCCACATCCTAACAATTTGAGGTTTTGAGAACAATTAATTGAAGATGCAAGAAGATATAATATTTTCTTAGACTTACTTGGTTTCACCCCCAGTCGCAGAGAAAACATATTTGAATGAGTCCTTAGAATTGCCTGTCACATGAAGCATAGAGATATGTACTTGTCACATGCATTGGGATGAACACTTCATTTTTCAATTCGTTATGCTTGTCTGATAGGTGCTTGCATCTTATGGTTCAGTTTACATGAAGAAATGGAATTATGATTAAACATTCTGAATTTTTTGCCATGCTACAAGTAGCGCAATGTCATCAACTGATTTAAATTGTTGAATACACTATAATGCTACATTTGGATGAGAGATTTAAAAGAATGGATTTCAATTTTAATAAGTTTACATTGTTTAGGAAATATCATTCAAAATACTATCAAATGTCTTTGAAATAAATTCGAAATGATTGGATTCAATATAAAATTTTAAATAATTAACTATTACTACAGTGAATCTTTTCTGCTTGTATTCTTTCTCTTTCCTCCCACATAGGTGCACACTTTTTCTGCATTGTTAACATTATATTCAAGCGCTTTAATTTTATAAATTAATGGAGCCTAAATTCAAATTTTCAATTTAAAATCCATTCATTGCCTGGGTGTTTCTATCTTGACCTGAATAGATGTGTTCTTTACATGTGAGTTGCAGGGACTTGGAAGTTTCCTGATTCTGCAAATAGCTCTTCCAGATTTCCGGATTTTAGAAAATCCGACGGCAACTCTATCATCGAATTAGTTAGCACGCAAACAAAAATAACTGGCGTACATTACGTGCAGGTGAGCAGTTTGAACCCTTAATGATGGTCATATCAAAATAACATCTGCAAGTGGTAAATAGCATGCCTTGGTCCATGAGATAAAAGGTGCTTATCGATAAAGGTCCCCGTTGTTATGAATGATATTTGCAAGACGCCATGTTATCTGTTTGTTGATGAGTTTGACATCTGTACATACTTCATGCAGGTGATGATGGGTGGGTGAGTTTTTGTCTGATGTATGAATGAACTTAGTTCTGTATAAATGTATGTGTATGAAAATTTTAAAAGTCAGATGATTCCATGTACACTAATGGCATGAACCTAGGAGGGCCCTTCTCTTGTGGACAGGTCAATGCAGCAATGCCTCAGGATTCTTTTTTAACCTGATTAAATTTTCTCCTCATGGGACATGTTCTCCATGATTTAAGCAGTCAAATGTTTTTGTAGCGTTAGAACTTGATTTAGCAAGTGTGGCTATTGATTTGTGATTCAGTCTTTATGTGGACTTTATCATTTCTTGTCGAGCTTGATGACCTGCTTTACATTGCCTTATGAGTTAATAGATATATTGAAGCCATCAAGTATTTAATTTAGATGTAGTTCCTGGGAACATGTTCAATTGTAGGATATACAATTGATAGCACTCTTCCTCTAGATGTTTATTCTTAGTATTTGTTTTTCGCATTGTTTTTTCGAGTTATTATCATAGGTTTTTAATAAATAATTTCTGTTTCTTCCGTTGGCTGACAACAGGGTGTAATTATTTTCCATGATGTGTTCGACAATGAACACAATGTTGGTGGTGTTCAAATCAAGGTGGAAGGTGTATTTATATGGCCGTTTAGACAACTTCGAATGGTAGCTAACAGGTAATTTTCATGGTTTTTCTTAATCAAAGTTCGTCTCCTCTTTGTTGATTTCGTTGTTTGCACCTGGTTTGAAATTAAATTTTTCTGTTATACATATTTTCTCTTTCATTTTGCAGTGGAAAAGAGGGAGAGTCCAGTCAAGAAGAGGATTATATGTTGTCAAATCCGTATCATATGGTAGCATCTTTTGTTCTGCTCATTGTTATGCAGGCTAATAACTCTACATGATTTTCTGTCATCTTATGATGCATTCTGTCATGGTGCTAGCTTTCTGTGCTTAGTCATATCTTGTTAGTTTACATTTATGTTGAATTTTGTCATCCGGAATGCCAGAGGCAGGGGTGGAGGTACATGGTGCCCCAGGGGAGTTGTACTCAAGCTTTATTATTATTTTTTTCCTGGAAAAAAAACTAATTGATGAGATTGGGGGGTGTGTTGTTCTGAGGTTGGGGGGTGTGTAGTTCTGTGGTTTTTCGGTTTTGTCCCTCCCTGTTAGTTTGGGAGGGTTTGGTGCTGTTTTGTTTCTCTCTGTGTTTGTTTTTGTTTCTTCAGTGGTGGTTGCCTTATCCACCTCTGTGTTCTTTTGCTTAATAATTTTCGTTTCTTCTAAAAAAAAAAATTACATGTACACGCTTAGAAAAGCCCTATTCTATCAGCCTTCCCGAATCCAGTTGAGTTCCATCTTATTTTCCTAATTCTAATGTATTTTTCTTTGAATTTTAGATCCCCCACACGGCCACACTCCTCTATTCTCTAATCTCTCCCACTATCAATCCATTTTTATTTATTGTTAGTGCACTAGATTTAACTAGAGGTTATTTTGATCTGCTGTCCTTAATTAATATATTCATAATATAAAATGTTTCACTAGATTCTTTAAATGGTAATTCATATATTAATTCCCAAAAGAGATATTGTAAAACAAAGAAGCAGTGAATGTTTCACCTGGGTTTGGTTTCATGTTCCAAGACTGCTACCATTAATTACACTACTTTAGATTTTGGTATGATATACATGATACTTCTACTGATGAGGGTTTTGAGTTCTCACATGCTACATACATAATTTCTTTGAACAGCTTGGAGTTTTCTCTTCCCAGGTTTTCCAAGAATCTCCTCGAGATAAGATATGGAGGAAAAAGCATTGTAATTTCTCCTACTCTGCTATGAACTCACCTTCATATTGCTTTCATGATGTTATATTAATTTCATTTGCTCTTACTGCAGCTCCAATTTATGAAATGGAGAAACATTGTAATATAGAAATTGCAGGCCAAATTTCACGCGTCTCATCCCCCCATAATGGTATTTGAGTTTTCTCAGCGTATGGATTCTTTCTTTCCTTTATGCGCTTCCTTACCATCCTTTTCTGAGAACTTTAAAAAATACAGTATCTGTAAAACGTGCTTACACACTTCTTGGCAACTTGATAAGAAATAATTTAGTTTTGGATAATTGAGAAGCTACTTTGCATAAAATTGCATGTCTTATGGAATTTCCCCTCTCCCCCGCCCCCCATATCTAAACACATCTCAAGTGAAAGGCTAGATCTGATCCATCTCAATGATGACATGTTTACTTACTTGGAATGGGGGAATCATGAATCGGGGAATTCAAGAACAGGGGAGAGAAGGAATGGGTATGGGATCAACTACCCTAATCAATCTATTTCCTGGTTTTTCAGGTATTGGATTATGGATTTTAATGTCGAGCCCACATAATTTTTATTCCTCATGTGTTAAGCGCATGGGATGCCAATAATTGGAATAATTTATCCATGTGTTAAACACAGGGGGAGCCAATACCCATTCCGAGTAAGTAAACATGCTAAAAATATAATCCAATCCTTCTAGTCTAATCCGATCCTATCCCGCTTGCCAAATGGAGAGTATGTAATTAACTATGATCGTCATGTATGTCCATCTTCTGATTCTTATCTTGTTTTGAAAATTCCATACTTATTACTAATTGGCTACATATCTTCCATTAGATGGTGATCGTGATCGTTACCACATAGAAGCATTGATGGAGAGTCCTGCAGTGGATGATGATGGAGATTGCTTCTCACCCTTGGTACTAAATGCTACTTCTGTCAATGTTGAGGTGTACTACAACAAAGCAGTGAACTATACCTTGATGGTCACCTTTGTATCCTTTATTCATCAGTCTTTCAGGTTGGTTTCAATGTTATATGCCATTTTTGTGTAGGAGTATTCCTTAACGTATTTCCTCAGGTCTCCTTTCTCCAAGTTCTTCTCTTAATTCGCCAAATGGAACATAGCAACACTCAGTCGGTAAGAATTTTTGTCTAAACATACTTTCAGAAAGAAAAAATATGGATTTTAGTAATACATGCTGTCATTAGTATTATAAGTACGGTATTTATCAGTTCGGTTTTCTTACGTGACAGAAGTAATCACGGTGACCTTTTGCAGGGGGCTGCCAAAGTTTCAATTCTAATGATTGGCCAACAGGCTATCATGGATGCTTATCTTTGCCTTCTACATTTGACCGCAGGAATACTTGTTGGTAAGTTTAGTGATTTATCATTACTAGCTTGTTTGTAAAAGTTTCCAATCTTAGAAGTTATAGTATAGTCGTAAGACATAATACTACCTGGCTCTGTGTATTCACTTCTCAACGAGTCTTGGAGCTATTCAATTTCAACCTTTCATCTTCTTCCTTGGATCTTACTGATCTGACTCACACCAAACCCACTCCACTCCTCAATCAGATTGGTAACCATCTTCCTATTCCTGCCACACTTCATCAACTTCATCATCTTATCCAACTGGGTCCTGAACGCATTCTGTTTGGAGTTGTGCGATCTGGATCAGGTGTCATAAGGGATATGGGCAAACCAAGTAACTCTGGTACGACAGTTGCAATGAAGCTGTTGCAATTATACTTACTACAAAAGGTGAAGTTGTTGTAATCATCTTAGGTACTCAGTTGCCATTCGGATCAACAGATAGCTAAGAAGTAGCGTTTTGGATACTTTGAAGGGTTAATTCACTCATTTATAGTAGCTTTTTGGAAACTAGATTTCTGAAGGGCATAAATACCTGATGTGCACTTTAAAATTGCACTGCAAAGTGCAAAATTTCACGTAAATAAATTTTTCTCAAGACCCCAAGGGAGAGTACATGACAGAGTCAGGAATTAGAAGATTTTTGCATATCCTTCTGATACTATTAACCATTCTGTATTTTTTTCTAGTGTTATTATTCAGGATGGTGGGGTAGGATATTTAATACTTTGTGCAAATTAACATGTCTGATATTGTAAATAGTGTGAAGAGCACTTTCATCATATATTTCAGTACATTTCAAAAGTTGTGGTACCACTTGACACCATGCTCGCAGCAAAGAGAGTGAACAGAACCCTTCTGACAGTATCCCTTTCTGTAGGCCATCCGTACAAAAAGTAGAATAATGACTGAATCCGTTCAATTATGCATGCAAACTGAAAGTATACTTTGGGTTATATCTCTGTGTCTCCCCCTTCTGTACAAAAAGAGAGTGAGTTCTTCTGACAATTGTATCCGTCTCTCTCACCCTCCCTCCCTCCCTGTGTGTGCACATGTTTGTGGATGTTGACAGCCGTTTTGACTTATGCATGGCATAAATACAATTATTAATTATTTTTCCATGCCAAGTCATACATATAATATTTGTGTCAACTGCGAATACATACGTTGGTGTATTATTAATTTGTTACTGCCTGATACATGTGTTTTATTTCTTAGGTTTATAAACTACATCTCTTATTTTAGCAGCTGTCTCTTAATATGCTTAATGTTATTGTGCTTACATCGTCGTTTATGGTCATCTCATGTATTCATTTGAAATTTCACCTATTGGATGGTCTTTTTGAAACCTTAATTTCCTGTTTCTCCCTATTAATTGTGCCTTTTTGCCTTATTTCTTGTTCATACAGAATCCTTGTTTAATGCTTTTGCGACTGCCGCTTTTTTCAAGTTTGTTGTCTTCTCAATATTTGAGATGAGATATCTTCTTGCTATATGGAAAGCTAGTAGGCCGACAAATAGTGGAGAAGGTTGGGAGACAATGAGGCGTGAGCTTTCAGTTTTATATAGCCGTTTCTGTAAGTGCTATTCTGGAATGTATGCTTTGTTTTCATCTGGAATGCCACGTCATCGTCTTATGGTTTAACTTTTGAGTTAATAGCATTTATTGGGAATGATGCACATATACAGATGGGTTTTACATATCCATTAATGTCCAATTTTTGAAGTAAATCTCTCTATATTCTCTAGGAAGAAGTATGTAGCTTAAAACAAAAGTTCGAAAGAAAAAAATGATAGGGTTTAGGGTTTAGGGTTTAGGGTTATTTACACCCTTATTAACTGATTTTCTAAGGCCGTTTGATAAGTTGTTTGGTAACTTTTACCCAGTATAATAAGGTTGAAATTTTCCATCCAAAAGAGACTGGAAGATAATTGGGTGAGGGTTTTCATAAAATCTCTTGTTATTTCAAGAAATATGTAATGGTTCATAAACTTGACTAATTTAATGGCAAGAAACAATGATCAACCTAGGCTATGAGTGGGGTGACTTTGGAGATGTGCAAACAGTCCCTCAAGCCCCGTGCATCTTGAAGATGTTCTTTACGAACTGATCATAATTTCTTTCAATGTATCAATGCAGTTCTCTGAGATACTGATGTAGTTAGAACAAATACTATCTAACTTGATATACCTAATGATGTCGTTATCATCCAATGTATCAATGCAGTTCTTTGAGATACTGATGTAGTTAGAACAAATACTATCTAAATTGATATACCTAATGACGTGGTTATCATCCTTAATCTTGGGTATCGTGATGGAGAAAAATAGATCGTAGATCGAATTGATATCCACTATGCTTGATCTGTGCTTGCTGATTTCCATTTTAGGTTTAAACTGTTGACTGAAATAATCATATTATATGATTCATTTTTTCAAACTTCAGGCATTGTCTAACTGTATAACTATTTTGCAGATGGGATCCTTTTGGGAGGCATTCTGTTCATGTATGAGTTCCATAACTTCCTGAGACCTATTCTTCTCCTTATGTACTCATTTTGGATACCACAAATAATCACCAATGTTATTCGTGATTCGAGGAAACCATTGCATCCTCATTACATCTTAGGCATGACTGTTACTCGGCTTGCAATCCCGTTATACATATTTGGTTGCCCTAACAACTTCATGCGTATTGAGCCTGACAAGAGTTGGTGTATTTGTTTGGGTGTATTTATTGGACTACAAGCATCAATTCTTCTTCTTCAGCACTATCTTGGCTCTCGGTGGTTCATTCCTCGTCAGGTTTGATGCAACTCTGGTCATTTATGTTTTCGTGGAAATTCATTCTTGTTCACATCCTTTTTTATGTCATAATGACACCCACAAGCTAATTGCTGCATTGATAAGGAATGTTAATTATATGGTTAACATGTTGTGGAACTTCCACAAGCTAGGAGCAGATTTATTCTTTTGGACTATAATGCAAATTTCTTCTTGCAGTTGCATGGTTGTCCACTTGTTATCACATAAGAATATTAACATATGATTACAAAAAGAATTGTCACCAAATTATTTTTGAATTTTCATCTTGAAGATCTGTAGACTATCCTTTATTAACATACAAATTTTGTATTAAGTTTTGAATTTCTTTTGTATTTTGAAAATAATATACTTTATGTCAGCTTGTAGCACCTTGGCATTCTTTCTATATCAGTGCATGTGTTTATAGAGGTGTACATGTATGATTCTCCGCTGCTCTTTCCAAAGATATTTGAAGTTTGCAATGATTTTAAACTTAAATTGTCTTTCGTTAAGGTGCAATTATTGCAACAAGGTTTCCTTGTGGAAGTGTAATTGGTATTTTACCTTGACAAAGTCACTTGTACATATCATTTCTGTTTGATGGTTTGCAGATTCTACCTGAAAAATATAGCTACTTTAGAAGGTACGATCAGGATACACATCACACCACAGACTGTGTCATTTGCATGACTGCAGTTGATCTCACACAGCGTTCAAATGATTGCATGGTACAGTGTTGGGATATTTTATATGGTAACAAGTTGCTAGACATACGTACTTGATCTAATATCCTATTTCACTTGCAGGTGACACCATGCGACCATTTCTTTCATTCAGGTTGTTTACAAAGGTGGATGGATATAAAGATGGAGTGCCCAACCTGTCGGCGTCCACTGCCACCAGCCTGATCCATTCACTCTGTCTATATCATGTATAGGATCAACTGACATCGCCCAACTCACTAATCTTGGTAAATTCACTTGATAGCATGCAAGCACTTTAGTATAAATATGAGTTTTTAGGGGTTGACGCTCCAGCGATTTTTGTAATTTATATGAGGCTAATTCTTTACATACCAATTGTTGCTTGGATTTTCCCATGTGATTTGAAGATAACTTGTAACGTGAATTTTTAATGATTCAACGGCCATAAGATGCCCTTTTCATCTTAAATATTCTTTTTGTTGAATGATTTTTTAGTTCCACATGTCTCTTTCCCAAAATCATGTTCAACGTGTATTCATACTTTCTGCAAATTTATTCACTGGGTTTTTTTGGCTTTTCATGAACTATTCCCACCAGTTTCCAAATGATTAGATGTAATATTTCATAATTCTGAATCTGCCATTCTGTATTCCATTTCAGGTTGGGTATTGAATCCATAATCAGCTTGAGTGCACCTTCAGAAGAAGGGTGAGACAAATCAAATTCCAACTGTAACTGATTCTGCAACGGCCAACTCTAGCCAATAATTTTTTTTTGCACTGTTGTATAATGTATATCTTAGTAAGCAATTCCATAGGAGCAAATCCTTATTAATCCCATCGGTAGTTGGTTCCCTCTGCACGTTTTCATTTTTAGAAGTAGGCTGGAAGATGAGTAATTGTCTTCAATCATGGTTAAAAGGAAACAAGAAAAAATAGCATCGGCGCAGACATATATGTTTTGTGCATCTTCACATTCATAAGCGATTATGCAATTTTACGCATTATTGTATCTCATGGAACTCAGTCCTGAATGTGGGGGTAGAAGGCGACAAGGATGTTGATGAACTTACACATGCTTGTTATAAAATCCTGGTAAGCCCTAAGATACAAGGTATATGAACCTACAAATGCCGAGGCAATGCTTGTTAGAGAATTCTGATTAGCCCTAACTCGATTGAATTTTAGTTCAGCTTGGAGTAAGATTGAGCTAGAGCCAAATTGTGATGAATTGAGTTCTCTCTCATTGACAGTTTCCTTTCCTCTATGGTTAAATCTTGTTTGTTACCTTGACTATAAAAAAAAACCCTTAACTTGATAGTTGATTCGGCATGAACAGGCCTGCACAAGATTCTCTCCTCTAGACGTCGCTTGCACTAATTTATGACAAGCTGAATTTAGTTCATAATGTGGCTTGTTCACAGAGCTTGAGATTTAGTCGTTCGGGCTCGTAAACAACCTGTCTTGTTGAATTCAAGAAGCCAAGCATTATTTGCTTATATAGCTGTCAAGGCTGCGGAATAGGCAAATCATTCTTTTTCTAAAAACGAAATTGGTGTATGGCAGAATGGTTTTTAAAAGGTAAAAGTTTACTTTTGGTCCTTCTAGTTTGTCGGTTTTATTGCTTTGGTTCTTGTATTTTCAATTTGTCAATTTTATCCTTGTAGTTTTAATTTGGAACAATTCATAGACAAGTTTCAATTTCTGTTAAATTCCTTCAAATTTTGTTAAAATTTAAACACATGCCCCTCACCCCCTCACGTGTAGGGGTATTTCAGTTCACTTGAGCCCGTCTAACGATCAAATACGAGCTAAGTTCTTTTGATTCACTTCAGGCATGATTTTTGGGTTTTGGGTTTCGGAAAAATTTACATCTCCTAATCAAAATTTGGGTAAACTGGGAGGAATTTGGCTCAAGTGGACCAAAATACCCCTCGACGTGAAGGGCATGTGGTCAAAACTTAATGGAATTGGAAAAAAATCTGACCAAAATTGAAACGTGACCTTAAATTGCTAAATACAAGGATAAAATTGAAAAAATGGAAAAACTACAAGGATAAAAATTGACAATTAAAACTATGGTAAAATCGTCAAACTACATGGACCAAAAATGACGTTTTGCCTTTTAAAATGGGATTTGAAAATAACTTAGAACCATTTCGTCTTAGAAAACACAAAAATAGACAACGTTTTCAAAATTGGAGAAAATGTCTTCAATAGTGAAATGTTTGTGATGGCCGATGACCCACAATAACTCGACATAAAGCAGTACAAAAAATTAAGGTCTCGTTTGGTATTCTAAATAGGGAATTCAAAAACTTTGATTATTTTAAAAAACAAAGAGTTCTCAAATCTATTTTTTAAGATTCAAAAACTTGTTTAGTATGCAACTTAAGAACAGTTTTTTTAATTTTTAAAAATTTGGAAACTTGTTTGGTTGAATTCTTGAAAACAACTTTTTTTAATTCATTTTTTATAGCTAAGGTATTGATAAACATTACTATTTTTATACAGTTGATAAACATTATTGAAATTGTGTAAAATTCCAGGGCCCCAATAATGTCACTTCAGACACCGTCATATATGTATATAACCAAATTGCAAAATTGGAATGAGAATAAATCTTCACAAGTCTCTAACTGAAATAGCAGATAAAGAATTCCATGATATAGCTGAGCCTGAGATACAAAATTGCTACCACACATGTTATCCACCAGTCCACCAACTCATTATCCACCACTATCTTAGCTTCATGTTGTTAATCTTTGTATTAGTTGTATCCACCATGTACCACTTTGTATTATCTCTTAGTTTATTATTATCAATCTTGTATAAATACCTCCTATGTGAAGATGAATCAATCAAGCAAAATATCATTCAATCATCAAATCTTTCAAAGGTATGCACTATCATATTTCCTTCTTAGACTCTGTCTAACAAGCCTTCATAGAACCTAATTTAGGCAAGCTCATGACAACTCTATTCAAAGCTTGATTTTTCATAACAGTAGAACAACTTTCAATAGCCTTCAATGGAAAAAAATTGCAGAGAAGCATCAAATGAACAATTCAACATAAGCTGGATCTCAGAAATTACAAGTAACCCATATGAATAGCATCACTGAGCAAATATCATTCAGACTTCTGAGTACTAGAGACTTCAAATGAGATTAAAAAAAAACAACAAAACAAACAAAAACAACTGAAAAAACTGAAACCAAAGAATTCTATAACCAGAATAGGAAACAGAGTGGACCCATAATGTCAAAATCTAAAAGCATTTCATCACTTTCTATGAAAAAAATAATCAATCAGGTTACACACAAGAATTCATATAAATAAAATCGAATTAGATATAAATAAGCTATAAATCAAACATAACCCAAATGAAAAATAAAGTCCAATCTTTAGTGACAGAATCCAACCCAAATTCCATTTTGGAATCTGAGCCAAACCCTGTGCGTGTTCGACACCTGGCAGACGCTGGGCACTCTTGACCAAAATGCCCTTTTAAGTTTCCTAAATTCTTTTCTTCAAGTCTAACTTCTGCCGAAAATTCGACAGAGCCTCCCTTGTAATTCGCTCGTTTCCCAAAAAATTTACCTATATAAAACATGATTTTATAATCCCAAACGTTCAGCATGCACAAAAATAGAGTTCATGCAACCAAACATCACATCATTTTGGCCTCAGGCCTCATTAACTCAAATAAATCGTTCTACTAACTGAATTTGATCCCAATTTTTAAAACAACATCAATACAACAATAGATTTCCAAAATGACTTAATTGAATAACCTTTCAATCACTTGAACTCGTGGCTGCACCTAATAACTCTAAGTTCCCTAAGTACCCTTAACAAGGGATCAAGCCACACGTAGTTCTTTCTTTCAATGTGATTGGAAAACAATTCTAGTTCTCATGTCAGTGATATGCTCACCATTATTCACAAACTCTGAAGTACATACCTTTCAACTTTCCCAATTCTCAAAACAGTTCATACTCAGAACATAAGTCGGCCACTCACTGAACTTCCTTTAATTCATAAATCAATTGTGTATTACTTGCTCAGATTAATATATATATATATATATATAATAAAAATAAAGATGAAAATAAAACTAAAAGTAAAACAAACAACCGTCGAAGACACTTTTAACCTTTCCTTCGAAACTCATATAAAACCCAATTATAAATACATACATATATATATATTTAAAGATTTATAATTAATTTATTACAAATAAGTAGGAAAACAAGAAAATTATTAAAATAACTTTGACCATATGAAATCTTAATGTCAATAACAACAGTTTAATTGAAACATATATTTTCCTCTTTTACATATAAAACAAACTCATCGCTTAAGAAATTAATTATGAACTATATAAAATCCTTAAAACTTAGAAAACTCTCCACCTGGACGCACCCCCATCCATATTCCATCAATTCCGATAACATTCCGTCAATTCCAATAACATTCCGTCAATTCCATCATCACAGGCCTCGGAAACACAAAGTTAACTGAGCCGCATTCCTCATAGGCCTCGGAGACACCGAGTTGTAAATATATGGATTTTGTAATTTTCTTTTGGCTTCCCTTGACAAGTTTGTAATTGGACAATCATTGTATTTTCTCAAGCTCAAGTTTAGATTAAGAATTTCATATCTAGGTGTGTTCTTATCTGGCTACATTATAATGGACAACATTGTGTTTGACAAAGACAAAGGTATGTTCTGCATTGCATCACATTGCATTAACATGTTTTGCATTACATCACGTTGCATTAACCTATTCCTGAAGATTATGACTAGTCATCCTTTCTCCATATGACTAGTCAACCTTTGCATTAGTAAAATTTTTCAGGTCACTGTTTCCAGCTGGATCCTACCTACTTTTTTGTCCTATTCTGCGAAATCCTCTGCTGCCTTGTGCGATTCCAACCTAGGAATTTTTGTGTAAAAATGCATACATTCCTCATTTGGTGCAGCCGTCACTTTTGTAGGTAAGTTTTGGAAAGTTTCTTTGTAAACTTTCTCTTCTTCCTCAAGTGTAACCTTCATATTTTTCATCTTTGAGTTTTCCAAATTGTTTCTTTTTGAAATATGAAAACTTCATCTTGCTAGATCAAACACTCTATCATATATATCTAGGTCAGATTCAAGATTGATTTCTTCAAGAGTATGGTTTCTTAAAGAAATTGGTTATTTTCTCCATGAATCCAAATTTCATGAAAAACTGAGCTTGCAAGCTAGTGCCATGGGATGAATGAGCTGAAGAAGGAGCTACCATTGCCTGAAGAACTGAGCTTCAAGCTTTGCTAAGTTGGAGAAGAAGATTGCACAAAGGAGGTATAGTTCATCTTCCTAAATAGATCTAGGTTTTTCTTGAGCTTGCTTGTGTTCCTTTGTAAGAATCTTTTTATATTTAGTGGATTGCCTGGTCGGTTTATGAGCCCCAGTTTTTCCCAATGGTGGGTTTCTGGGTGAACAATTTCTGGTTTCCATCTCCGTAAATTTTTTGGGTTTGTGTTCTTGATAGTTGACTAGTCATCTGGGTTTGTGCGGTTGACTAGTCATCTTTTTATGTTGTTTGGTGTTTGCTTGATTATGTTGTCTTCACACACTTTCACCATAGTTGTTGCTAGCACAGGGGATGCTTAGATTGACGGGTCCTTCTGAGTGCTTAGGTTGTCACTAGTAATTCTCTAGGCTTGCAGGTACATCTTGGTATGCTCTATGTATGTTATTGTTTGGTATAATTCATATATGACAGTTGACTAGTCATAAGAGTATTTGGTCAAGGTCTAGAGTGTGTGAAGTTTGATGCGTTCTTGGTTGAATATCTTTTAAATTTACCCCTCGTCACCTAAGTACCAGTTTCACAAGTCAACCCAAGCCGCAATCCTCGCAACACACGGTTCAGGCGTCCTCGAAATTCGTGGGGCATTATCAGAAATAACCAAACTGTTTCAAGGCAACTTGGGGGGTACTCCTATGGTGGGTTTGAAAATCATATTCCACAAATCCATATTTTAAATCCTTTTTCTTAACTTCCATAAAATCAGTTCTCAACTACCTTTGAATTATCA